TCTAAGGCACAGATGAACACTTTAGCAGAAAAGATAAGCAAAGGTGGGCATCAGACAGTGCTGTGGAAGTGGAAATAGGCAGACTTACTAATGGTGTACAATATAGGTCGGAGCTCATCTCGAGGTCAAACATGACACCAAAGTTGCTAACAAACAACCTCCAGCGATAGACAACTTTCAAAAAGAAAGATCAAATCATTGGTTAGGATCGAACCTTGTGATGGATGCTTTTGATCTTCCCAATTGGAGGAAACTTCTGCTTATTGAGAACTGGATACAGGACATATAGTATTGTAATTTAGATGCAATGGTGGTGTCAAGAAAGATGCAGGGCCAGGGACAAAAGTCATGGGCCGTGGTGCCTCTTCAGGCTTCTTCATCCATTATCGCTTCCCAACATCCTTCAAGTACCCAGAACTGGGAACCATAGTCACAGGAGGGTCAAATTGTTTGAAACAGGAAAATACTCAGTAAGATGCAGTTAACAACTACTGCTTTGTCAGACAATTAGACGGTAAGATATAGGAGCGAAATTAGGCCATTTGGCCCATCGAGTCTGGTCTGCCATTCAATCATGACTGATATGTTTCTCAACCTTATTCTTCACTTTCTCCCTATAACTTTTGATACCCTTACACCACTTGATTAAGGAGGAAGTTTAACAAAGATGTTTATCCCTCAATAACAGAAGGGTCCAGAACATCAATGCAAATCACAAGGCTGAATTATTAGCATACATCAACAATCGAAAGTGCCGAGTGGATAAAAATCCTCTCAAGGTCCCCAATATCATGGACGCCAGCCATCAGCCAAATGTATTCATACCATGTGATACTAAGAAGGCATTGGACATTGCAAAGGTGATAGGTCTTAACAAATTTACTGCAACAGTATAAAAAACAGTACAGCACAGGAACAGGCCCTCTTGCATGTTAAAACTGTCTTCACTTACAGGATCCGTGTCCCTCTATTCCTTTCTTATTCAAGAAGCACCTGGACAAATACATGAGTGCTGCTATTGTGTCTGCTTCCACTACCACCTCTGGCAGCATGTTCAAAGCACTCACCACCTTTTGTGCGAAAAATGCCTCATACATCTCTTTTAAATATCTCCTCTCACATCTTGAACCTGTGTCCCCTAGTAATTGACCCTCCATTCTGGGAAAAAGCCTCATACTTGCCACTCTATCCATGCCATTCACAAACTTATAAACTTCACTCAGGCTGCCCCTCAACCTCCTGCATTCCAGTAAAAATAAACCCAGTCTATCCAATCCTTTTTCATAGCTAAAATCCACCATGCCAGGCAACATCCTGGTAAACCTTTTCTGTACCCTCTCTAAAGCATCCAAACCCTTCTGGTAGTGTGGTGACTAGAACTCTATGCGATATTGCAAGTGTGGCCTAACTAAAGTTCTAAAAAGCTGCAGCATAACTTGTCCATCCTTATACTCAATGCCCCTTCCAATGAAGGCAAGCATGCCACATGCTTTTTTTTTACTACCTTATCTACCTGATCTCTGGACCTGCACACCCAGATCCCTCTGCATATCAATACTCCTAAGGATTTGCCATTCGCTGTATAATTTCTACCTGTACTTGACCTTCCAAAATGCATCAACGCACATTTGTGCGGATTAAACTATATCTGCCATTTTTCTGCTATGCCTCTAACTGATCTATGTCCTGCTGTTTACTCTGATAATCCTCCACACTATCTGCAACTCCACCAATCTTTGTACCATCTGCCGCCTGGCATTGAAGACTTGTATGCTAACAACAGCTGCACCCCTAGACAAGCTGTTCCAGTACAGCAATGACACTGGAATCATCTGATATTTAGAAAATTGCCCAGCAAGAAAAACAGAACAAATCCAAACTTGAGAAATACTGCCCAATTAGCCTGTTCTTAATCAACAGCAAAGCGATGAAAGGGGTCATTGAAGGTACTACCAAATCGCATTTCCTGAGGAATAACTTGTTCTTTGACACTTGTATTCCACCAGCTCCAGATCTCATTACAGCCTTGGTCCAAACCTGACCAAAAGAGATAAACTCCAGAGCTGAGGTAAGAGTGACTGCCCTTGATATAAAGGCAGCATTTGACATCAAGGAGCCTTTGCAAAACAGGAGTTAAAGGGAATCGGTAAAACACTCCACTGGTTGGAATCAGACCAAGCACAACTGAAAATGGTTGTGAACATTAGAGGTCAATCACCTCAGTCAGGAATTGCTAAGATAGCATTGGCAAGGCAGAGGAGCAGAAATAAGCCATTTGGCCCATCAAGCCTGTTCCACCATTCCATGAGTTCAAAGCGGATCGTATTATCCTCAACTTCATTTTCCTGCCTTTCGCATTAACCCTTGATTTCTTACTGTTTAAAAATCTATTAATTTCAGCCTTGAATAGTCTTGACTACACAGCCTCAATAGCCCTCTGCAATAAAGAATTCCACAGATTCACTTGTTAATTTTTAGCGTTGGCATGTTTTAGTGTTTTGCCAGTTACATTTGCAAAAATAACTTTGCCTCTGGTAAGAGACAGTAGGAACTGCAGATGCTGGAGAATCTGCGATAACAAGGTGCAGAGCTGGATGAACACAGCAGACCAAGCAGCATCAGAGCAGCAGGAAGGCTGACGTTTTGGGCCTAGACCCTTC